GGAAGAACAGCTAGTAGACAGAGCGCCAGGCACAGGCAGGAAGACCTGGCAAGTCACTTCCCCTCTCTGGGCCTCAGTTTCCCCATCTGTAAGATGAGAGGGTTGGATGGTAGACCTTTTCAGCTTTGACTCTAGGACTAAGGTTCACATCTTGGCTCTGCTTCTTGCTACCTGTGTGACCTTGTGTCTCTCTGAGCCTCAGTTTCCCTTCTGTTAAATAAGGAGCTCGGCCTAGTTGGTCCCTTCTGTCACTCTAGCTGTGTGGCCTTGGGCAGGTCTCTGAACTTTCAGGGCCCTATTCCCTCATCTATAAAACAAGGGGGTTAGACTTAGCTGACCTTCAAGGTCCCTTCCAGCCCAAGCTCTGTGATTCTGTGAACACAGGAGGGAGGGCACGTCCCCAGCTCTGAGCCCCTGGCTCTGACAGTCCACAAGGGACAGTCCCTTGCCTGGGGTTTCTGAGAAACTAGTCTGAGCAGCTAGATGCCTATGGACACACCTAGCTGCTTCAAATGTACCTGGGAGGAAGCCAGATACTGATGGGGGGTAAATTCAGGACAGAACTCCTTTGATCATGCCCTACCTCACCCTTTCCCTCCCTACTCTTGCCCACCCCTACCTGTCCCAAGCACCTTGAAGGCAGGGACTCTTTCACTATTGACTTATACACCTAGTCGTTCGCCCAGTGCTGGCACAGAGTAGGTGATCTATGAGGGGTTGTGGACTGATCTATATAGGGCAAGGAATTCTTACTTTTGTTGCAGTGCACACAGTAGGGGCTTAATAAATGCTTGTTGATTGACTGAACCCTTCTTGAAGGTCTGTTCTACCTGGCTAGGGGCATCTGAATTCCTTTGGGATGTGAAGGCCAAATTCTCCTCAGCCAACAGCTCTCCGGACTGACCCAATTTCTATTCTGAAGAATAGTGACTTGCCTGTTTGTCCTTGGGTTAAAATTCAACCACTCCCCCTAATCCTGGGGTGATTGATAAATATTTTCCTCCTGGGAATTTGATAAAATGCAAACTGCTTTCCAAGAAAGATACTGATGGAGAAGCATTGGGTCCAATCTGCCAAGATGCTATTGCCAAGACTGAGAAATGCCAACGTCAGGAGACCCTGAGAATCCCTGTGAGAGGTAGGTGGGTGGGGGGAACAGGAAGGACACCAACAGCTCTGGAAAGAGGCGAGTCTGGCCAGCACAGCTGCCTTGTGGCCCTCCCAGGTCAGGCTTGTAATCTCTTATCTCAGGTCCTTATGTGGTCCTCCTCATGGCCTTCCTCTCTCCAGTTTGGCTCCCTCCCCAATTCAGCCTTCACACCGAGTAGTCCTCCTAAAGCATAAATAATGCTGTGTTCAAAATCCCTCTGCCTATGAAACACACTCCTGTTCTTGACATTCAAGGCTCCTATAAACCCCACTGAGTTCCTCTCTTCACGAAGTTGCCACTGAGGCCAGTCTAGACACTCTGTGCCTCCATTCTCACCCTGCCCTCTTTGGTCCCCGAGTCTTTGTTCATGTCGCCCATCCTGGCCTGGAACAAAAACATGGTCCCAGAACTTCAGAGCTACAGGGATCTCAGCAGCCGCCCATCTCATGAAGGCATCTCGAGACGACTGAGTGACAAGCGTCTGGCTTCTCCTCCAAGCCCTCTGCTGCAGAGGGGCTCAGCTTCTCCACAGGCAGGCGGCCCATGGCTCTCCAATTCTTCAGAGGTTTTTGTGAACCTCAGCCTCAATTTGCTTATTCCTGGTTCTCATCCCTAAGGGCACAGGGGACGAGGCTAATGATCCCTCAGCCACGTGACAGCCCTTGGAATCCAGCTACCCACGCCCAGCTCCTTCAGCCAGTCCTCAGGTGACAAGGGACTCCAGGCCTTTCACCATCCCGACTCTCCTCCTCTGAACCCTCTCCCGCTACTCAAGATCCTTCTCAGAGCCACGGGCCCCAGAAGCGGGCCCAGGACTGCAGATGAGGTCCGACCAGGGCTAAGGACAGCAAGGCTAAGACTTCTCTGTTCCTGGAAGCTGTGCCTCTCACTGAAGCCCAAGGCAGAATTCTCTTTCAGCTATGACAGCTCCTGCTGACTCAGCTTGCAGTCCACTAAGACCCCCGGATCTTTTTAAAGACAAATTGTCACCTGATCTGGCCTTCATCAACTTGTAGCATGGAAGCTGATTTTTTTCCCAACCCAGGTGCAAGACTGGATCCTTTGTGAATTTTCAGCCCCATGCTCTACAGTGTGTTTCCAGTCTTTGGGCATCCTGCCTCATCCAGTGGATTGGCTGTCCTTCCCAGCTGAGGGTCATCTTCAAATGGGATAAATCTCTCTGTGCTGAGGCCCAAACTCCCCCCGGCACCTCAATGGAGAGCCCCTGCCAAGGTGACCCTTTACTATTAACTCTTTGGGCCCGGCCATTCAACATTTTCCAAATCCATACAACCGTCTTCTTGCCTGGTCTGCTGCTTCCCCTGGTTTTTGTTTTGTTTTTTTCTTCAAGGATAATGAGATCATTGATCAAAGCTGGGTAACCTGGAACGTCCACACTCCCCTGACTGGTCAGTTTAGTAACTGCAGAAAGGGAAATGCAGCCCTTTGGGGTGGACTGGCCTTTGCTTAAACACTGTCTCATTTCCATGCCCAATTGTTGTCCTTTAGAGTCCATTTCTGGGCCCACTGGGCTGGAACTGGCAGCTCTGCTCTGGGAAAATGACAAGATGTTCTCCAGACCTGTTGCACCATTCCCACTTTCTGTGATCATTCAAATGTCACTACTCTCCTCAGTCTTGCACCGTTGAAATCTTTCCCGTCCTTTAAACATCAGAGACCACCTTCTCCAGGAAGCCTCCCCGGATACCTCACAGTATCCCAGATGAACCTCATCTCTTTCCTCCAGTTCTCACAGCAGTTAGGCAGGACTACTTGGTATATGACTTGTGTGCAAATATGACCCTTCCTGGGCCTCAGTTTCCTCATGAACTAAAGAAAGGACTGAACGGAAGCCCTATCTCACAGGGCTCTTGGGAGGGTCAGCTGAGAATGAACTTGAACCTGGGTCTTCCCTAACTTTGAGGCTCTCTTGGCCTGGGGGAAGCAGGCTGTCCAGTAATGGCTCCTTTGGGCTGAACTGTGAAAGTCCATCTCTCTGGGCCTCAGTTTACTCATTTGTAAAGTGAGGAGGATGGTCCCCTCCAACCCTAATAGTTACACTTTGAAGTTGTATCTGGCTTTAAAGCCCTTCGCTAGAGTGCTCACTCAAGCTCTCTCCTTGGACCCTCACAACAACACTCTGGCCCCCATTTCAAAGGCACAAAATTGTCAGTGTCTGAGACACAACTGATTGGCAAGCCTTCCTAGCTCCAAGTTCTGCTCATTCTCCACTTCGATACCCAGCCCCCTCCCCCATCCCATGAAACAGCCAAATTAAATGTCCCAAAGACAAACCTCCTTCAACAGCATAGGTGTTTGTCAGTTTAAAGAAATCTCAAAGCAATGTCAATAACTCGGATCTGCAAGCACCTTGGGGCCGGGGATGGGGAGGGGAGGGGAGAGAAGAGTTAGCTGTGGCCTGGAGCCAAGGACGTATTGCTGGGGCTCGGGCTCTAATGGGCACTTTCTTCCTCCAAAGAGAAACGTGCCTGCCCGCTCTGAGCTGGCCTGGGGACAAGAACAGTTAGAGGCGATTTCTCCACCTCACCCCGCCCAGGGAACAAGCATTTATTAATCGCCCGCACTATGCCAGGCACTGGGCTAAGCACTTTACAAATCTTATCTCCTGTGAGGAGGGCTGGCGACCCAAAAGGCAGGCTGGGCCACAAGACTGGCATCGGACTCCCCTCCTCTTCCCTTCCTGTGCCTGGCCCTGGCACGTATTAACAAGTAGAGAAAGGACTCAGGTCAGCGAGCCCGGGGGGACACTGGGGAGGCGCTGCCCCACCCCCGTCTGGCTCCTCTCCTCTCCCTGCCAGGGACCCCCCTACCCCAGAACCCCTTTCCCCGCCAGGCCCCACCTCTTCCTCTCTCCTCCCCTCCCCTTCCCACGGTGCCAGGGAAGCCCTTTCCCGGCCAGGTCCCCCTCCTCCTCTGTCCTCCCCTCCCTCAGCACCCCTCTCTCCCCCCTCCTCCGGTTCCCCTCTCCCAACGTCTCCCCCACTGCCAGCCCCTCCCTTCCTCTCCCTCTCCTACCCCCCCCCCGCCCTCACCACGCTCTCTCAGCCTGCAGGCTCCCTCGGTCCAGTGCTCCTGGCTCCCAGCTGGACCCTCCCGAGGACAGTCCGGGAGGCCGGACACGGAGGGGGCGGGCAGGGGGCGGGTCCAGCCCGGCTAAACTTTAACGGCTGCGCCAGCGCAGGCGGGCTCCCACCCCCACGCGGGGGCTTGCCAGGCACCGCCCCTCCCCCGTCTCTTAGGCCCAGGGAGAACCAAGAGTGGCCTGCGGACGGCCGAATGCGCCGTCCCATTACTCCTCCGCGGCCCCCCACCCCCGCCTCGAGCCGTGGGTTCGAATCCGACCCTGTAGCCGCTCGTTGAGACTCCACGCAGGGCACGGACTCAGAGCTGCAAGGGCCCTCGGCCGCCGTCGAGTACGCTCCAACCACCCCCTTCATTTTACATAACAGTAAACTTTAGGCCCAGGAAGGACATGCACACCTGGATGCCAGGTAGGGGCTGCAGGCGAGGGACAGGCACGCCTATCCTAGGCAGGGGGCCACAGGAGAGGTTCCAGAGCTCCTGCCCCACCCAGCCCAGTCCGGCCCAACCCCGGGGGCGGGGCCGCTGGGGGGCGGGGTCCTGGGCGGGGCCGGGAAGCGGGAGCAGCCAAAGGCTCGGCAGCCAGGCAGGTAGCCCGCACCAGCTGGTGCGTCCCATCTGTCGCGTCCATCCTCAGAGATGCTACCAGAGCTGCCCTCCCTTCTGGGCTTGTCCGTGCTATGGCTGAGCAGCATCGCCCCCCAGGGCCTCTCAGAGCAGGTAAGTCCCGCCCTCCTCCAGCGCCCACCTGCCTCTGGGCTGCGGGAGCCTGGAGCCCCTCCGCTCCCACCTCCGAGCTCGTGCCTGCCTCCCGGCTTGGGCAGTCTCATTCCGTACTCTCATGCTGTCACCTTTGCAATTACGAGCGCGCGGAGCAGAGTCGGACCAGAGAAGTCAAGCTCCTTGTTCGAGGCACACAACCAGTACAGCGGGGCAGGGCTTGTCCCCTGCCCATTCCCTCATCCATCCGTGCCCCCGAAGCCCACGGCGCCCAGACTTTGCTGAGTTCCTGGAAGTGCCCGAGGGTGGGATGCCCCGAGTGAGAATACCCGAAGGGTCATGGTAAGGAAGGAGCCTTGAAGACTCTTTGGTACAGTCGTCGGCAGTGGAAAGCGACCGTGAGTGTGAGGGAGGATCTGGGTCCCAGCCTGCGTTCCGGCTGTCTCCCTGTGTGACCACCGTAGGCAAGCCCCCTTCCTTCCCCGGACCTGGAAGAATGCCGGAGTGGGATTCAATAGCCTTTAAAGTCCCTTCCAGCCCTGAACCCTTGAACTCAGAGCTCCCCAGAGAATGGGTTGGGGGGATGAAGGGGGAGCACTGCTAGCCACCCCCACCTCTAGTTCTCTTGCCTTTCACCCACAACAGCACAGGGCCCCAGGATCTTATCGAAGCATCCCGGATTTCAACCTGGGAGAGACTGGAGAGGTTGTCTGGTGCCACCTCTGTTACAGAGGAGGAAACTGAGGCACAGAAAGAGGAGCCAGACCCCTGAACCCCAGAAAGGTTCAGGCAGGGGCGTGGCCTCCTCACTTTAATAAAATGCTAGCACTGTTTCCCCATAGCAGATGACGTGGACACAAGGTAGGCTGCTGGTAGACCTGAGTTCAAGTGCCAGGGTCTTAGCTTTCTTTGTAAAATATGAGGGGAGGTTCATGGTAGGTGCCTTCTGAGGCCCCTTCTAGTCCTAGGTCCATGGTCCTCCAATCCCGGACCTGCCCCATAACCACAGTAGCTAGCATTTATATAACACAGTAAGGTTTGCCAAGGGTTTGATGTGGGTTGTCTCATGAGGTACCATGTACCTGTGATACCTTGGCCAAGGAATTTCTCTGCTCTGGGCGAAGTATCCCCATTTGTGAAATGAAGGGATTGGACTGGATATCAAGAAAAAGTTTGTACCAAAGTAGACTTGTCCAGAAGTGGCCTGGGGAGGTGGTGGGTTCTGCTTTAAGTGGGGATGCCAGGCTGAGTTGGGCTGCCCATTTGTCAGATGTGATTCAGAGGGGATTCTTGTTCAGGTCTGAGTTCAACTAAATCTCTGCCAAAGCACCCTCCCTCTATGCCAGCGAACGCCCCTAACATGCCCTTCTCTGAGGGCTTCCCTTCTTCCTTGCCACAGAATCCCCTTCCCTGAAGCCCCTCCCTGCCAGGTGGGGGTCCCTTCCCAAATTCTGTGACTCTGGGACTACAGGGATCCTATGGTCCCTTCCACCTAGAGCAGTCTGTGTTCTGAGGTTCAACTGTCAATGACACCCCACCCTGTCCCATCCCACCCAAGTCCTTGAGATGCACTTTTCTGGGTAGTTACAGGAGGAAAAAGCAGTCAGCGAGCATTGATTAAGCACCCACGATGTGCCCAGCACAAAGGACACAAAGAAAGGCCAAGCCCAGGTCCTCACTTACCAGGAGCTCATCTGGCTGTGGGGGAGACCAAAATGATGTACTCAACAGCACAAGAAACCCAGCCCCCTGCAACTCAAGCTTTCCAGACTTGACCCTGGTTCTCAGTTTGATAATAAGCCCCTCCTGAGCCCGGCAGGTATTATTTGGGTACAGACACAGAGACACAGGGAGATGGCCTGGTAGAGAGAGGGGAGATTTATTCTGCTGATCTGGGTTTGAATCCTAGGTTTTCCCCTCTCTCTACGTTCTTGTTGGCTCATTGTTCTCCAACCCCCCATGCCCCTTTTGTCAGAGGTCTTTCTCACTTCCCCTTCCAGCCAGCTGCTAGGTGGTGCCTTCCCCTCGGGCATTACTCTCCATTCAGGTAGTAGGCATCATGAACGTGCGGGGTTGGGGGCATGTTGTCCCTCCCTCAGACTGAGCTTCGTCCTTGAGGACAGTGGTTGTTTTGGCCTTTCTCTGTGTCTCCAGCACTCATCGGCACGGTGCTAGGCACAAAACAATGACAACGATTCTTCTTCTGATGAGGAGAGCTAGCATTTCTCTAACACCTACTGCAGTGTGCCAGGCACTGTGCTAAGCACTTTATAAATAGTCTCATCTTTATGCCAGTCACATGGTGAGCGCTCACAAAATGCAGCCTTTGTATTTGAGTAAATGGCTGGTGGCAGGTAGGGAGGGGGGCTGCTTCCTGAGGGAAGCCTCACTCCCTGGCACACACCTTCTTTTATCCCAATCTAATTCTCCTTTCTCCTGTATCAGAAGACATGAGCATTGGGCCTCAAAGGGGCCCACAACATCACCAGAGCTGAATGTGGGGCAACATTTCTCTTTAAAAGCTATTCTTGGAAGGCTAACGTATCTCAGCCTTTTAGGGAAGGGTGGATTGAGGTCACTTGGTGTAGTGGGATGGGCACTGGGCCAAGGCAGAGGTTAACCAACGTTTGTTAAGGGCTCAGGGAAAGGACTTCAGAGGTCCGAACCTGCTTCTCTCATTTCAGAGAGGAGGAAGCTGCAGCTCACACATAGTAAATGGCAGAGCTAGGACCTGAACTCAGGTCCCTTAACTCCAGATTCACGGCTCTGAGCAAGCCTAACCTAATTCCAGTGCTGCTGGTGGGTGACAGCTTCACTGGCTGATGTAACTGGGAATGCTTTAGTTTAGAAATCAGAGAGATGGGAAGAGGAGAAACATCCCAGATGCCAAAATATCTTTAAAAGTTTTATCTCAAATGCAAACATTCTCAGCTGAGTGAGAAAGGAGAGAGGCAGGTGATTTTCAGAGTTGGCTGGCATAGTTTTCATTGAGAAGCTGTTCACCCCCAGGAAATCTCTGAGGGTTGTGGAAGGGCCATCCGGAGGGTGTGGCCAGTCAGGGCTGGGCCATGGATGGACTCCAGGGGAGAGGGGGGTTTCACTGACAGGATATTCAGTTATAAGTGAGTTGGGTGGGTGAGAATCTGGGACTCAGCTCAAATCCCAGGGGCCCCAGAAAGAAAGCAGTTTGGCTCCCTGTCTCTCTCACCCTGGCTCACAGGTAGCTTTGAAACAAGGAGAGATGGCTGGGATGAAGCTATCTGACCTGGAAGCATCTCTGGCAGCCAAGTGTGTCAGGGTGAAGCCAGGGAATGGGGGGGAGGGGAGAGGAGGTCATTAGGTCAAGGCAAGTCCTCCCCAGCATGCCATAGCCTTTAAAAAGCTCTTTTCTCCCAACAACCCCAAAATATCGGCAGCTGAGTCACAGGATTCAGGTTCGAGTCTCAGAAGGACAACAGCATTTCAAGGCTGAAAGGGACCTCTGGTACTGCCCATACCTGTTCTGACTCTGGTGCCTTCTAACTGTGTGGCAGGTCATGGCACCAAAGTCAAAGCCAGAATGAGGCAGACCTCTGTTCTGTGGACAAGTCACTAAACCCCTCCCTGTCCTCTAAGACCCCCTCCCCCTCCAAGATGATAAGCAGGTGCTGACCTGCGTGAATAGAGGGAGTTTGTTTGCAGGGAGTTCTTACCTCAGTGGAATCACAGATCTGGTCCTCGTCTTTCCCCCAGTGCCTGAGGGGCCCCTACCTCCCCTACAGCCCCATCTGAAAACTGATATCCAATCCTGCCCCGTGGCTTTAATTAGTCCCAAGCTATCAAGTGATACCCGGCTGATTTTGCTAAAATTTGTCATGGGGAAAAACTTAACTTTCCAGTGTTAAAAAAAAAATATGCTCATTGTAAAAGACCCTTTGAGTGCCTGGAAGAGGCTGTGATTGAGAAGCAGGAAGCTCGTGGTCAGGTGGAAAGAGTTCTGGCCCCTGTAGAAGGCACACTCAAACACTCAGGTAGCTGTGTGAATCTGGGCAGGTTCCTTAACCTCTTGATGTCTTGACCTCTAAGGGCATTCCTAGGACTTGCCTCACAGTCTATGTAAGCCATTCATTCATTCAACAAACATTCTAAAGGCGGCTGCCATGTGCCAAGGATTGTGTTAAGCAGATCTGGGTCAAAGCAGGGACTACAAGGATTTGTCATTTTATGTGATTGATGCATGGTTTCTTTCTTTTCTTGCAGTCTATAAAGTGTTTTCCTGAGATGGGTAAGTAAGTAAGTCTGATGAAAATCCTGGCTGTGGCGCATTGAGAGAAACCAAAGTGATTGATCATGGTCATTCAGGAGCAAAGAGAAATCCCACAACCATAGCATGAATTTAGGAGCCAATTAAGAGAACAAGTTTCCATCCTGGGATGACTTTCAAAAATCATTTTTCATTAGAAGCTTAATAGCTATCCTCAAAACAACCTGTTAAATACAGAAACCCAGTAAGGCACAGAATGAACAGATTAAAGTCCAAGCTCTAGTTTAATTTGCCCAAAGGAAAACTATACATAGAAACATGAACAAAATCATCTCCACAGACTGGCTTGCATCCGGTCCCTTTGTGCTTTTTCAGTGTTCAGATTTTATCACGCCTATTTGCGTTCTTATCTGTGCGGGCCCTCCTGTGCACCTCAGAGTCCTCTGGTTCTCAGCACTCCATGGCCTTTCCCTGCTGCTTTGAGTTCTTACTATCTGTCACTGTTTATGTGGAAGCAGTCTTCACATGCCACTATTTATTCTGCTGGGCCCCAGTCACTCTGCATAGAGGTGGGTGGCTACTTTTCTTTTTTTCTTTTTTGTATTTACGGAAGGCTGAGCTAGGATTTTCCAAAGGGCCTTTTCCTCTTTTGTTCATTGTTAATTCATTTCAGTTGAATTCAAAAAACTTATCAATAACAAGCAAAGGTTTATAGAGTACTTTACGCAGAGTACCTCATTGAATCCTCACACCCACCCTGGGAGGGAGGTGCTGTTATTATCCCCATTTTACAGATAAGATGACTGAGGCAGGCAGAAGTGAGGGGCCTTGCCCAGAGTCACCCAGTTAGTAAGCATCTGAGCCTGGATTTGAGCTTGGATCTTCCAACACTCTTTCCACTGAGCCCCCCCACTGCCCCATGTACGTAGATAAATACAGACAGAATAAATTAAAAAGAACTCCAAGGTAACTTTAGATAGGGTAAGAGAGAACACTTATGGGATGTGAGTATGCCCACGTGGAGGGCACTAGCAGCTGGGGGGATCAGGGTGTGCTTAGGTTGAGCTGTGGACCGGTGAAGTGCTGAATCCCACCCAATGGGACATCCTGGACGCAGGTGTATCACAGGATTTAGAGCTGGAAGGGGCCTCTGTGGTCATGTAGACCAGCTTCTGCATTTTAGAGATGAGGAAACTGAGGCCGGACGTGTTCAGGTTGCCTGGCTAAGGTCACCCAGGAAGTAAATAGTATTTGGCTGGTGGCCGTCTCTTCTTCATCTCTGTGACCTTAACGAAATTGCTTAAACTCCTGAGTCTCGGTTTCCTTATCTGTAAAATTCGGAATTTGAAGGGACCTGAGATAATACTGAGTCCAACTCCCTTATTTTACAGATGAGGAAACTGAGGCGGGGAGAGGTTATGTGATTGACAGGTGTCACTCAGCTAGTAAGGGTCTAAAGCACAATTAGAACTTGAGTCTTCCTGACTCCAGATCCACTGCTCTATCCATTGAACCTCCACCTCCAATGCTACTTGCACTGCCTATGGTGCCCCATTCCAGCCTTTCCTGTTGTCCTTCCAAGGTCCATCTACAGAGTGGATAGTCAGAAACAAACTGACTCCAGGAGGGTTGCAGACCCTCCGTGTGGATTCCGTTGCCAGCCCCGAGCCCAATTCGGATACAGTCCTTCTGAACATAAGCTGGACACTCAAGCAGGATGGTGAGTGTGGGATATAGGGATGGTGGAAGCAAGATCAGCAATGCACATCTGTGGTGCATAGAAGTCTCCAAGATATTGGGTCTACTGTAATCAGCCAAAGCAAGCCAAAATTTAAAAAAAAGGACCCCTGGCAACTGGGAAGTTTGTAAGGTTCCAAAAGGATGTAAGCAAATGGCCTCAGGATTTCTTGTGACCGATGGCCAGGGTGCCCCAGCTGCTGGTGGTGTTTAATCCCCCAGTACTGAGCCTGCCCTCTGTAGTATAAATTCCCCAAGGATCTCATCTCATGGATCCATTCCTGATACTCAGTGCTGGAATGTCGTAGCCGGTGCCTGGAGCCCAGTTGGGTGACCAAGCCCCCTCCAGCCTATCACACTCCGAGATGCTCACACCAAACTCTAAGGCATCCAGTGGAGTGGGGGGGTGTGTGCCTTATCTTTGCATGTGTCCCATCCATTTTCAGGGCTGTCCCTGGTAAGGTTACCTTCCCTCCACTCAAGTAGTTATCTCCTATGTTCTGATTCACATGGTTTGATTCCCTCATTACAGTGTAAACTTGAGAGCAGGGACTGTTCTCAGTTTTACTTTGTATTCTTGGGGCTTAGCAGCGTTTGGCACATAGCACACACTTTATAAACGTTGGTTGGCTGGCTGTTGATTGGTTGATTTTTCCTTGACGTGCTTCTCTTACCCCATTGCTTCTAGGCAGCATCCAGATGCTAAAGGCCACTAAGATCTGTGTGGATGGAAAAGGTCGATTCTCATCCTACAGCTGTGTGAGATGCAATTACACAGAAGTATTTCATAGTCAAACCGCACCCCATGGCAGCAAAGTAAGAAGAAACCTCAGAGAATGTATTTTAGCACTGAGTGGAGTAGGTCAGATAACTTGGTCACTTCCAGGGGTAACTGCTGGAATCTATGGGCAGCCTCCTAAGGACCTGATTGTGACTTGGGATCTCTCATGTATCTGGCTTGGTGCCTCAACCTCAGGTCGAACCTGGAAAGTTCAGTAGCTGACATTTCCTCAGTGGTGGCACCCGATCCTTTTACAAGTACATTGACTCACAAGGCTTTAAACTTAGACCAGGTTTTATTTACACAGTAAAAGTTGCAGAAATCACTTTTAATCCCACAAGAGTCCCTTCAAGCTTACCCTGTCTAGGGCCCTGTAGTGTCCCTGGGCTTCATAGTGCTCTCGAGTGAGGTTTAGTCCTAAGTAGAAGAGGACTCTATCTTCTACACACATGATCTACTCCATATTGCTTCTCCAGTGTTCCACCCCCCCCATTTTCTGTTGACTTTCTTCTTTGTCCTGTTCATTGCCAGGATAGATAGAAACTTGATGTAGGAGTTGATGACTTTCAGTCACAGATCAGATACTGAAAATCAGCATCCAAAAAAGATGGTTGAGTCTGTGCCTTTCACAGTCATGACTTGCTTTGTTTTTTCAGTGGGAGTTTCATTACGTTGGATTCCCTATAAAGCCAGAAACCCCTTATTTCATCAGAGCCCATAATATCCCACCTGCAAATATGAATGAAGATATTACCGCCATATCTGTGAAATTCACCTCACCAGGTAAGGGCCTGCTTGGATTCTTCCCTCTTGCCTTTGCTTGGGATAGCTTTCATTGTACTTGCAATCCTCAAGCCCAGTCATCTATCATAGGCAATCATCTATCTTGATTCAGGCAGTCAGTCAAGCATAATTATGTGCTTACTGTATGCCAGGCACTGTGCTAAAGTACTGGGTATAAAAAGGCAAAAACAAGGTCCCTGCCAAGGATCAAGAAACTCAGTCTAATGAGAGAAACAACATGGGGAAGTGATGTATATAGTTGTTCTTCAGGAATATTTGTGCTTCGGGAAAATTGCTGGCTTAGTTTTCTAAATAAGTTTTTATTAGCCTCCTTTGTTTTCAAATGTCCCTCTGTATCCCTTGCTCCCCTCCCCCTCCCCAAAGCATCTCATACAACAGATTTTTTTTTAGAAAAAGAAAAAAATCAGCAAAAGCAATCAGTACATAAAATAAAACCACTGGGCAATGTATACAGTGTTCCACACCTGTGGACACTCCCTCTACAAACACTCAGAAAGGAGTTGGGGGAGGGGGCTTCTCATATCTAGTTGTTGAGGCCAACCTGCTGAGCTTTTCAATCCATCTTCAAGGAGAGCTGCTAAAACTTCTCAGTTTCCCAGACGGCCTCCCATTCTCTGTTCCTCTGCCTCAGAGGTAGAAGTGGCCTCCTTTCTTCCTAAGATGAATCCCTCCATTTCACCCCTTCCCATGGGTCTTGGGGCGTTGCTGTATTAAGTGCCCCAGCTCTCTCTGGCCTCCTCAAGCTGGCATTCTCCACTGTCTCTCTCCCTCTGGTTGTAGCCAGGTCTAAGTTTCCCTAATCTGCAGAAATCTTCCCCTCCTTCCCTTTGTGGGGAAACTTGTGCTTCCTTACTCCCTTCTCCTGGCTTGTCCCCACCACCAAACTCCACATGCATTTAGCATGGCGACAGGGAGAGAAAGACAAATGAAACCTCTTTTTGTCCTCAAGGATTCCATGGTGACTGCTCTTTGCCTTAGTCAGCTATTCCAGTGGCCTCCCTCGCCTCTCTCCAGCTTGGGAGCACTGAATAGTCTTGCCCTGCTTGGCTTGGAGATGTTATGCCTTTTCGGTTCTTCATTAGCTCTTCATCCTGTTCCCAAATCCTGAAGGTGGGAAGTTCTCCCAGGTTCTGTCCTTGACCTTCCCTTCTCTCCCTTGGCAATCCCATTCACATCCATGATTTCAGTTCACCCCAGTTACGCAGAGGGTTGACTGATCAGTAGACTCCTAAATTTACGCCTTCAGCCTGGAATTCTTGTATCTCTGTTGGCCTCCAGGACACCCCAGACTCAGTGTCACCTCCTGACTGAGCTCATTCGCTTTCTTCTGAGACCTGCTCCTTCTTTGACTTGTCTACTTTGGTCGCTACGGTTGCCTGTCATTCCTCCTAGGTGGGCAGTCCATTCTACCTCAGCTGCCTCTCAGATCTTTCTTTCCACCTTCCCAGGGGCCCTCACTGTCACCTGCTTGGAGTACTCCAGTGACCTCTCCACTGGTGTTCCTGATGCTGCTTCTCCCTCTAGTTCACCCCTGGGGCTGGCTGCTAGAACTCACCTGCCTCATCCATAGGTCTGGCCATGTCAGATCTCTATATGAAATCTTCAGCTGTTTAGCTAAAGCTGCTCTACCATCTTAATAATGATGATAATAATGATAGTAATAATAGCTGGCAATATGTGCCAAGGACTATGCTAAATGCTTTAGAATTATCTCATTTAACCCTCACAACATCTCTGGGAGGTCAGCGCTATTATTCTCTCCATTTTACAGATGAGGAAACTGAGGCGGAGGTTAAGTGACTTGCTCAGGGCCACACAGCTCAGAAATTTATGAGGCAGGATTTGCCCTGGGGTCTTCCTGATGGCAGGCCCAGAATTCTATCCACTTCAGCACCGCCTAGCTGCCCCCTACCTTTGTCCCCACCTTGCCTCCCTCTACCTTTCCAGCCTCAGGTAATTCTACTCCTTGGTTCATGCTCTATGTTCCAGCAAAACTTGACTCCTTGTGGTCCCCCAGGAATATCCAGAAGCGCCCTGCCTTTGCTTATGCTGTGCCATATTCCTGGAATGCCCTCCCTTCTTTACCTCTCCCCAGTCTGCCTGTGGCAATTCTTTCCCATGCCTGAAAGCCTGGCCTAAATACCACTTCCTTCACGAGGCCGCAAGCAGCTCCCTTCTGCAGCCCCACCAGCACCTCATCTAGGGAGCTTCCTTGTACCTCTCTACTGCACGGCAAAGTGTCAGCCTCCTGAGGGCAGGGGGTAGTTTTCATTTTTCCTTTGTGTCCCCAGTGCCTAGCACAATGCCTGGCACACTGTCCAGGCCTAAGAAATCTGATGGGGTCATGCTTGTGTCCATCAGTTCCCCTGACAAGCTCCATGAGGCAGGCGAAGGTCATTACCCCCCCCACACACACACACACCCCCAGCATGCAGCTCTAACCACGAGATAATTAATCAATGTTTCTTAAATTGAAATGTTGAATCTCAGGTGTATCTGTCAGCAAGCATTTCCTAAGCACTTACCACGTGCCAAGTGCATGATGGTGGACAGAAAGAAGAGTGAAGCAGCTCCTGACCTAAGCGGTTTAGATTCTTTTAGGGAAAACAATCAATACAGTCTGCAGAAATACAGCCTGGGGCCTGGGGCTACCTGGAGCACGCTGGGCTCAAGTAAACTGGATCCTGGAGGCTTGACCCTCCATTCTCTCTCCCCTGCCCTGCAGATGGACTTCCCCTCCCCACCTGAGTAGACACAAGCCAGGGGTGCCTGAGAAGAGAACGGGCTGGGTCATTCTCATGGAGGAATTGAGAGCCAAGGCAGAGGATTTCCATTGCCCCGTGTTTGAGGCAGCATCCGGGCCAGGATGGTCTCACAGGCTGTGGGATGACAGCCAGCTTTGAGTTGTCCTGGAGCCACAGAAAAGCTCATTTGGAAATAAGGGCTGGCCTGCCTGCATGCTGGGATCCTGCCCTTCTCCTGGGACTCAGAGCTATTTATATTCTAGGCTTCCAATTTGCATGGCACCACGGCCATCACTCAGGGCCACACATTAGTCTCCTTCTTTGGTTTGGTGTTAAAATTTAACTGCTGCATTTAAATTCAATGGCCTGGCTCTGGGTTTTATGTGCGGGGCTGTTTCATTATGGGGCATCAGCAATCGTGTGTGTTAGGGGAGAGAGGGGGAGGATGAGGGAGAGGGAGAAATGAGCCCTTGGCTAAAATGTAATAACATTTTATTTCACCTTCTTAGACTGCCAAGACCCAGTGATGAAATATACAAAAAAGTGTCGAGAATACGGTGAGTGCGGGGCTTCTGGAGAAGGTGGCACACTGGAGACTCGAGTTCAAATCTGACCTCAAATCCTTACTAGCTCTGGGACCCTGGGAAAGTCACTTAACCTCTCCTGCCTCAGTTTGCCCATCTGTAGAATGGGGATAACAAATGAGATCATATTTGTAAAGCGCTCAGCCAACCTTAAAGCACTGTATTTAATGCTAGCCATTTCATCCCAAGCCTCAGTCTCCCCTGTAAAAGGGGGATAAGCCTGATATAATCCAGTCTTATGGGGATGTTGTGAGCCAAGTTCTTGTAGAACCTTTGTGGGCTGTAGCAATGGGAGTGATTCCTAAGGCATCTACCCTGGTTCTGAGCCTACGACCAGATGCTTAGTTCTACGGACACTAGGCAGCCTGAACTAACGTGACCACACCCTTCAGGTTCCCAGAAGTGAACCATGGACTTGATTTGCCTGTCATGTGAATAAAGCCACAGGTGATGCTTACAGGGCAGAGCCTGTGCCAGGGGAGGTTTGGGGTTCGAGGTATTCCCTCATCGACACAGTGTCCACTCAGCAAGCTAGACAGGGTCCGGCTGGCAGGGTGATTCTGGCCACATTCCTTAATCTCTCTGTGCCCTGAAAATTCCAATACAAAAGCCTACTGCCACCTCTTCCTCCGATGTGTATTGTGGGAAGGAGACAGGGAACCAGGTTCCAAAGTACAGTGGAAGGAGTCACAGGACCTGGGTTTGAATCCTGATTCCCTGTATAACACAGGGCACGTTCCTTCCCTTCTCTGGCCTCAGTTTCCTCCCCGGTAATATGAGGCTGTTGGACTAGACAGTCTTTGAGGGCTCTTCCATGTCTATGAGCTGATGACTCCCCCCCTGCCATGTGAAAGCCACTGTAGGGAAGAATGACCTTTGGTCCCTTTGATCACAGAAGCTTCCAAATGGAGGGCATCCCTAGAGACGCTCCTGACAAACCCATTTCTTTTACTAAGGAGAAAGCAGGCAAGTAACTTGCCCATCCAGGAGAGTGGATGAGATGGGTCTTGGCAGAGCCAACGCCTCTTCCAGTGTGCTTGGCTACTTTCTGAGGGCACTTAGAACTTCTTCTGGGAAACAATGATGGCTTGATCCCAGAGCCAATGAGTACGGGGGTGCTCACCTCCATGGAGGGAGGTGAGCTCCAGGAGGGCAGAGTTAGTAACCTCACCCTTTCCCATCTTGGAATAACCCACAGGGAGTCTGTGGACCCCAAACATCACCGCGTGTCAGAAGGAGAAGAGTGTGGAGGTGAATTTTAGCACCAGCAGCCTTGGGTGCAAATACCTAGTCCTGGTTGAGAATGATGAAGATGTCCTAGGGAACAGTGACATTCTGGAGGTACTGTCTTCACTTCTCCCCAGGCGCGGCCCTTTCCTCTTTGCAGCATCTCCTCCTTATTTATCCCAGGAAAGGGAGAAGGCCTGGCCTAGAGAGGCTGGACAGGGTCCACGGCTGAGTATCTTAGGTTTTTAATTTATTGGTTATGTTTTGTTGAAGGCTTTTGTTTCTTAAGCCACAATCACTTTCCTGAATACTCCCTTGGACGAGGACAAAGGATTGAGGAAAACCAACCATTTATCAGCATAAGAAACTGACTTCATAATCCTTTTGCCAGAGGGCAGAGAAGCATATTTCCTGATCCATTCTCTAGGACCAAGATTAATCATTAAAACTGGGTTGAGCTCATCCCTTCCTTTCCATCGTGCTAGTGTCCTCCTGGTTCTGCTTTCTTCACTTCATAGTTTTTGTCTTCCATGTTTCTCTGAATTCCTCTATTTGCTGGTTCTTGAGGCATGATGATATTTCAGTCTTCTCATACCTCACTTGCTTCAGTCAGATCCCGATCCCTGGTACCTAACTTTGTTCCTGGACTATTTACTGCCCCATTTTGGTCAGATAGGGGCACTTGAGAGATTCTTATGGAAATTTCTGTCTGTAAGTGGCTAAGTAGCACGGCACCAGGCACAGTGTAGGCAGGTGATCTGACTTCTCTGAAGGTCTCATGATGGCCCAAATGATTACTGGGGTCTGCCTCAGGAAGGCTCTTGGGATTCACCGGGGATCCCTGGCCTAGGTGCTGTGGTCAATGAGGTGTGATTGGGGGATTGAGGGGTTAGTAGCTGAGGTGCATGATAGAGAGCCATGGCTTTCTCCCTTCTCATAGCCCCTTAATGTCCCATGTAATTGTGGTCATTCTTCCCATTAGCTGAACCAGAGCCGGGCTTCTGTGATCATCCCAGTGACGGCAGAGAAAGGGAAAGGGGCCATGGTTCAGGTAACTGACCCTTCACTGGGTTGTTTCCCACCCTCCTCCCCCATACCTTGGCTTCCAGTGAATTCCTCTGTAGACAGCACTCATCCCACGCTCCCTCTCTTACCCAGATCACCTTTTATGTTCCACTGTGAAGTAAATTTGTGCAGCGGTTTGTTTGCTGCCCACTTGTATGGGTGGGGGAGGCTGATGGCCCATGCTGTAGTCCACCTCTCTAGCATGACAGGCTGTATCAGCTACCTGGTGGGGTCAGCAAAGCTGCTGGCTTTGCTTGTGAATGTGAGAGGCTGGAGTGCGTGTGACACACTGGGGTCCAGCTCCATGTCTTGATACACCTGCCCTTTCCCTGGGGGGAGGGGAGGTCCCAGAGTGAAAAACAACCTGTAATCTAACTGGGACTCAGGCAATTGGTGAATGCCTAAGTGTCAGACCACTTATTTCTGTGCCCTGGGGCAGGTCCCTTAGCTTCCTTATCTGTATAATGAAGATAATAATAATAAACCTAACTTTTTCTGAAAACTTTGCACCTTGATTGCTCAGACAGAAGGTGATCTGGAGGAGCTCCCTCCCATCAGCCCCTTGTCCTGAAAGGGAGTGAAGCCTCACTATTCCAGGACAGGTCAGGAGCGGATACAATGGACTTTGACACTCAGCTCCTTTAGTGAGATACTCTGCCCAAGTACTGTCATCCATCTTTTAATAGATAAAAACCTCAGACACCATGGATGGACAAAGCCATTTTGATTTTTAGTATCTTTCCAGAGTTGACTCCCCAGCCCTAGAGGGATACGGACTCTCCAAGTAAAATTGGGAGAAACAGGAAGGCACAGTGCTGGCCACATTAAAGGAGAGGTCTTACCCTGTTTTGCCACTGCACCCTAAAAACCATGGCTGAGGGGCCAGTGGAGATGCAGGGAAGGGTGGAACGTGGCCCAAATATCCAGAAGCAAATACACAAGTCTGATTTTTTCTCAGATAATTCCTTATTTCCCTACCTGCAACAATGACTGCATACGGCGCAGAGGAACTATATTCAGCTGTCCAGAAATCATCAGTCCGGTAAACGTGAGTAAGTGTCCAAGTATCAGTTTTCCCAGGTACTTGGTGTGATTGAACAATGCTTTTTTAACTCCAAATCACAATTCCTTCACCAGGCTAGAGTGGAGGGTCCTTTATAAAAGAAGGGGCTCGGTGAGCTATCCAGTCCTTCTGGCTCCAACCATCTGAGTCCCTGGCCTTGGAGAACTTAGGTAGAACTTAATTAGGGCTGAGACGCATCCTGGTAGAGAGGGATGGAGTGAGAAGGAAGGGCGGTCTCCATCTTGTTCCATTTGCTTCTCCTGGGTCTTCTTGGCCCCAAATGGGAACTGATGAGCTCCTACCAGCACCATGCAGATCCAAGAGTGACACTGCTCCTCAGAAAGGCCCCCTGGTCTTTCTTCTGGTGATAGGGAGATTCTATCTTGGGTGTGCAGCAGGGGAAGAGGGACTATGAGATAAGCCATAGTTATACTCAGCTGTGGTTCTGCCTTTTCTTGTTAGACACAAGCCAACCACGGACACATCAGATGTTCCTCATCCTCCCTACTCTGAGTGTGGCCATATGGGCGCTAGCAGTTGGATTCTATTTTATGTGGAGGCACGGTAAGAGCCCAAACTCACAGGTTTACAGATCTCCTGGTGCTGCTGGCAACCAAGCTTAAAATAGGGCTTAAAATACATATCCCCTTTGTGACCTGGGAGCAGCAGCTGAAATGTGATGGGATCAGCATAGACCCCTCGGGTCAGGAGATGACGGCTTGAGTCCCCGTCCTGCCATGCACCGGTTCTGTCACCTTGGGCAGGTCCTTTAACCTGTCTGTCCCTCAGTCTGTATGAAACGGGTTTGATGGGTCAGCCATGAATTCAGGTGGCTGGGGTGATGAAAATGTTTCTTAAAAATGAGAAGGCAATTTGGAAAAAGAAAAGGTCCAGAATATCAAAGGAACTAATGAAAAGAAATGCAGGGGAAGGTGGCCTAGCCATTCCAGATCTTAAATTGTATTATAAAGCAGCAGTCATCAAAACTGCTTGGTACTGGCTAAGAAATAGAGTGGTGGATCAGTGGAATAGGTTAAATATGCAAGACACAGTAGTCAATGACTATAGTAATCTATTATTTGATAAACCCAAAGACCCCACCCTCTGGGATAAGAACCCACTCTTTGAAAAAAACTGCTGGGAAAACTGGAAAAGAGTATGGCAGAAACTAGGCATAGACCCAAATCTCACACCATATACCAAAATAAAGTCAAAATGGGTTCAGGACGTAGATATAAAGGCTGATACCATAAGTAAACTGGGAGAACAAGGAATAGTTTACCTATCAGATCTATGGAGAACAGAAGAATTCATGACCAAACAGGAGATAGAGAACATTATGAAAAGCAAAATGGATCATTTTGATTACATTAAATTGAAAAGTTTTTGCAGAAACAAAGCCAATGCAACTAAGATTAGAAGGTAGAAAATTGGGAAAGAATTTTTACAACCAGTCTTTCTGATAAAGGCCTCATTTCTAAAATATATAGGGAATTAAGACAAATTTATAAGAACACAAGCCATTCCCCAATTGATAAATGGTCAAAGGATATGAACAGACAGTTCTCAGATGAAGAAATTAAAGCCATCTATAGTCATATGAAAAAATGCTCTAAATCGTTATTGATTAGAGAAATGCAAATCAAAACAACTCTGAGGCACCACATCACACCTATCGGATTGGCCAACATGACAAAACAGGAAAATGATAAATGTTGGAGAGGATGTAGGAAAACTGGAATGCTAATACATTGTTGGTGGAGTTGTGAAATGATCCAATCATTTTGGAGAACAATTTGGAACTATGCCCAAAGGGCTAAAAAATGTGCATACCCTTTGATCCAGCAATAGCACTTCTAGGGCTATATCCCAAAGAGATCAAACAAATGGGAAAAGGACCCATATGTACAAAAATATACATAGCAGCTCTTTTTGTGGTGGCAAAGAATTGGAAATTGAGAGGATGCCCATCAATTGGGGAATGGCTGAGCAAGTTGTGCTATATGAATGTAATGGAATACTATTGTGCTGTAAGAAATGATGAACAGGCTGACTTCAGAAAAACCTGGAAAGACTTATATGGTCTGATGCTGAGTGAAGTGAGCAGAACCAAGAGGACTTCGTACACAATAACAGCCATGTTATGCAGTGACTAAGATTGTTAAACTGAACCTTTCTCAGCATTATGAGGATCTAAGACATTTCCAGAGGCCTCGGGTTGGATAATGCTGTTCACATTCAAAGAAAGAACTATGGAAGTCGAATCACTATCACTTATTTTTACCTTCTGTTGAGTTTTGTTTCATATTTCTGATGGTTCCTCATATTGGTTTTAATTTTTACTTACAACTTCACTAATGTGAAAATATGTTTAATGGGTATGTAAATGTAAAGCCTATATCAGATTGTGTGCCGTCTTGGGAAGGGGGGGGGAGGGGAGAAAAATTTTCAACTCAAAAACAGATGGAAAAAATAAAAAAATTTAAATTAAAAAAAATTTTTAAAAATTTTAAAAAAATGAGAAGGCAAAGATATTAGTGGAACATTCTTCTTCTGCGCCTTCTTACACAAGAGGAAAGGGAAGAGATGCCATGGACCAGAGGTAACAATGGCCATTCCGGTCACTTGGCTCAAAGCCTAAAAGGAAAGGCTAGTATGAGTTCCGCCTCCTGCAGAAGGCTGACCTCAGCTCTGATTGTGTCCCAAGATGGGCCTATAGTTTCTGTGGCTCTGATTTGGTGGCCCCGTCATTATTTCCCATTGATGAATGAGCCACATTTCCCAAGTGGAATAACCCCCCATCTTCCAGAGATACTTCTGATGTTGGGAATAAACCTACTGCTCCCACCCACACATACTTGTAAATCTGGCACCAACACCTGTGTCTCACCTCATTATTTTGTAACCTGCAGTAACTCTCATGATCATTTCTAAAATGCCCAACCAGGGATGTGTGTGGTAAGTGGGGAAGCTTGTGGTGATGCTGCTGATTATCAGATGCCTAAAAGAACAGTCCAGCTGTCGAGGGCCAGGGAGGAGGTTGTTTGCACATTCTTTTCCAGCACTAACATCCTCAGCAAGGATGAATGAATTCTATGAATTCGCAATGATGGCGTTTGGGTGGTTTGCTTAGACTCTGTGGAGGGAGAAACTCTCACATGGTCTTTGATATACTGATGAATTGACACTGACGTATGTATAGTCAGTCACTGTAGTTCCTCACAGGCTCCAAGTGTAGCTAAGAAATGTATAAATACATCTAAGCATTTAAGAAGCCTTTTCTAACACTGCTTTTCCACTGAAGTCTCCCAAAGCCTCTTCAGAATGTGGAAGTGACCCGGAGGTTTCGAGGCCCATACTAGCAAAGCACAAACTGGCAGGCCCTACACAGCTAGGAAATGGAATTCAATTCAACAGACATTTATTAAGCACCTACCATCTGCCAGGCAAAGGGAATACAAAGATAAAATCCTCCCTGCTCTCAAGGACTTTACACTTTCCTAGGGGGTGGAAGAGTGGACAAGTGGTCCACAGAGAAGTGAATACAAAGTGTGTGTGAGAGAGACACCTGAAGGGGAGGGGCAAGGTTACAGTGTTCTTTATTGAGGGCTGTTTCAGTAAAGGGTTTTTGTTTTTATTTTTACTCTATTTTTTAAAAAACAATTTTTAGTTCTCAACAATCACTTCCATAAGCTTGAGTGTTAAATTTTCTCCCTCTCCCTCCCCACTTCCCTCCCCAAGACAGCATACAATCTGATATAGACTCTACATATACATTCCTATTAAACATTTTCATATTAGTCATGTTGTAAAGAAGAATTAGAACCAATGGAAGGAACCACAAGAAAGAGGAAACAAAACACAAGAAGAACAAAAGAGCAAATAGTGTGCTTCGATCTGCATTCAGACTCCACAGTTCTTTCTTCGGATGTGGAGAGCATTTTCCATCATGAGACTTTTGGAGATGCCTTAGATCCTTGCATGGCTGAGAAGGGCCAAGTCTATCAAAGTTAGCATCGCACAGTGTGGCTGTTACTGTGTACAATGTCTCCTGGCTCTGCTCTCAGTAAAGGGTTCTTAATCCGTGAAGTTATTCCAGTAAAAGGATGGTGTCTGGCCCATGGTCCTTTCTCCTGTGTACTTCTGTAATACAACTGGTAGAACTCATCACCCTGGAGCTCTGGGGATTATTCTGATGATGGGTTACTCAGATGGAGGAGGGCGGAGAGATGCCGCCACCTTCTGGCCCACAGTAGGATGACCACCAAACCTTGAGCTTTACCAGCTGCTCGGCCCATCTTTGGCCCGATGTGGGGACCCTTAGGCCAAGGCCCTCTTTTTGTCCAGGGTGACTCCAACCGTCCAAAATCAGCACCTCTCCCTCCAAACCCAGAATTGGCCCTTCACTGTATGCCACATCTCTCTTCACGTCCAGACCCTTAAAGGGAAGTGAGGAAGATAAAAAAAGCCATGTTTCAACTAGAACCTCAGCTTGAATTTAATTCTTCCATAAATTAAGTCAGTTAAGTTTGTTGCTATTTCAATTGGTCCAAAATAAGTTAGAATGTTACCTTATTTTAGACTCAGAAACTGGCTGGTCCTTCTGTGTGTATATATGCTAGCAAGAACAGAATACTATTTTCTTTGTGACTGACTCCCACCTAAATTCTATCCTGTCTACTAAAATTTTTCTGGAGACCTTGGCTGAAAAGCCCCTCTCACCTGATCCCAGAAGCAGCTTTTAAGTCAACATTAATGTTAGCTATCGTTGTTTTCTTCCTCATATATTTGGTGGAATCCAGGTAGAAATGGTCCTGGCCCAAGTCAGGAACCCAGCTACAATTCTCTTTTGTTTAATATGAGGCAGACTGTTGCCCAGGTGAATAAAACAACAGCTTCCGGCAACTGAATCAGAGTTCTGAGACCTGAGTTCCTCTTCTGGGGGCCCCTCAGAAGCGCCGTCAGTACAGTTCTGTTAGCAGATGACCGGATGACAATGACAAGTGCTTCACCCTCTTCCCAGGGGGTTCTGATTTTTTCTGCCCAGCCTCTATTCTGATGCTTTTCATTGCAGAGGGTTCAGGTGATGAGCATTTGTACAGTAAGAGCTCTTCAAAATGTTCTTTGTGTCCAGGCAATTGGAGGGGCAACAGCTTTGTATGTAATGATGGTCCTCACCTTTTGGGAGGTTACATGTTGACTGCTCAAGGACCTTTCAGGGTTTGCATTTATTTACAGCATCTGTTAGTTTATGAAGAATAAAGGCTGGCCCCTTAGGGGAGGAGGAGGCATGGCAGAAGGGCCGGGCTATGCCAACAGCTTACCCCAGCCTTGTGCTGCAGGTGCAGAGCCTGTGAGCCCACAAGGCCCCTGCCTGATGACAGAGGGAAGTCATCTTCCTAGCACCCTGCTAATCCGCATCCACATCTCCCAGGCAATGAGTACATTATCTGTATTCTGTTCACAGAAAAGGTCAAGAAGAGTCTTCTCCATTCGCCCACGCTCCTTCCGCCCATTAAGGTGCTCCTCGTGTACCACCCCCAAGCCTGCTTCTATCACACCGTCTGCGATTTTGCCAAGTACTTGCAGGATCACTGCAGAAGTGATGTTATCCTTGACCAGTGGCAGAAGAGGAAAATAGCAGAAATGGGCCTCGTCTTGTGGCTCACAACCCAGAAGAAGGAGGCAGACAGAATCGTGTTCCTCTTCTCCAGCCGGGCAGAGACATGTGACAGCTCCTGTAACCCCAATGCGGGCAGGCACAGAGAGAGCTCCCAAGACCTCTTCACTCTTGCATTTAACCTTTTCTGTAGCGACCTGAAAAGCCAGGCCTCCCTGGACAAGTACCTGGTTGTCTCGCTCGGAGAGGCTGCCTTGGCCGAGGACCACAGTGCTCTCAGCGTTTGCCCCGGGTACCGGCTCATGAAAGACGCCAGCCCCTTCTGTAAAGACCTCCTCACCATCTAGCCCTGGTGACCTGCTCACAGCCCTGCTAATTATCCTCAAAAGGGACCAGGAGGGACAAAGCACACTTCAGGAAGCAGAGGGGAAAAGCGTTCAAGAGCTTCTCTTGTGGCCACACAAACATTAAGTAAAACGGAGCCATTATTCAATAACACCTCGGCCTTTTGGAAGGGGAATGTGTGGTCAGCTTCGGGGGGGGGGCAGGGTGGGCGTGCTGGGAAACTGGGAGGGAGAGGAAGGCTAACATTTAGGATCAGGCTCCCGGCCACGTATTTTTAGACACAGAAACATTTGCTAAGCACGTCAAACTTCTCTCTGCTGACCCTCACAACTGAGAAATTACTATGTTTGCTCCTTTCCATAAATGTACATAAAGAGTGACTGATAAAGTCAACATAACAACACCTGCTATATGCAAAACACCATGTAATGGGAGGGAGGGAGATGAGGGAATATCATGGACTTGAAAGTCAGGCTAAGAAACCAACCAGGGGGATAATCTGCAGTTAGACAAAAATACAACATAATTCACTTGGAAGAACAAAAGGTCTAGAATCTCAAGGGAAATGATTTTTTAAAACACTAGAATAAAATTGGAAAATAAATTGGAATAAAGGGGGATTAACACTTCTAGATCTCAAATTATAGTACATAAAGGAGTAGAACAGCAGATCGGCACGACAGCCTAGACAAGGTGGAATCAGAAACAATGGGACCATAACTATGCCCCAGTTCACAATACTGAGAATATAAATTACTTGGGGGAAGAATTTCCTATCTGACAAGTACTGCTGAAAAACTAAAAAGTCATCTGAAAGTAAATGGGCTCAGATCACTGACTTCCACCATATACCACAATATGCTCAAAAGAGATAAAGAACCTTACTCTTTAGACATTAAAGTTCCCGCCATGAAAAGACTGGAAAAGAATCAGATCAGGCACCTTTCAGAGGCTATGAGAAGAGTTCTTAACTAAAAGGATAGAAATCACCACAAGAGATAAAACAGATCATTGTGAGGACATGAACATGTAAAGCTCTTGCATTGACAACTAGGAAGCTGTGATTTGGGGGAAAGAATCCTTTAAAATCAGCTATCTCTGATAGCTGACATCCAAGATATATAGGAAACTAACCCAAACACAGAGTCAAAGAAAAAGAATCAACAGTTCTCTAAAGAACTGTAACATTAACAACCACACGAAAGCCTGCTGCAAACCAGCTGTCATAAATCAAAGCCACTCTCAGGTTTCCCCCGTGCCCAGAAAACTGGCAAAAATTAACTTGAAGTTGGTCCCATCTCTCTGAAGTGCAACTGGGGACGCTGCTCAGAGTGTGACTCGAGAGTCTATCCCTGAGTGACCTGGAGATGCAGCCGCTGGGCAGAGTCTGCAGGGGTCAGAGACACAAAGTCCTGTGGACGTGGAAACATTCACCAAGACGACCAGGGAGCTCGGAAAGTGCTGAAACATGGCTATGCCCTAAGAATTCTGAGAAGCACAGGAGACTCGCACGGGCTGATACAGAGTGCAGGATGGTAAACCCGAGAAGCAACACAGAGCAACGGGGACAGAAAGCACGACAGTGACAGATGCTCCACAGCTGTCCTTCCAAGCTGGGCCCCAAAGAAGTGAGGGGCTGGTTAGATTTGTCCGGCTCTTCAGTTATTCTTTACTTCTTATATTTGGGCCTCTGGGTATGAGAGCAGGGAAGGATACATTCAGGAATGGAGATGTTTTAAAAGGATCAATAAAGCATTTTATTTTCATTTTTAACTTAAATACAAAAATACTTTTTTTTTTTAAAAAAGAGGGAAAAGAAAGCCGGGCTCCACAGTCGTAGCTGGACTTGATTCATTTGGCCAAGGAGGGGACATAATAAATAAATCAGTACTATCTTCCAGCTTTAAGCCCTCCCAGCTCTCTCCTGACTTTGGCGCCTTCCCTTTATGACCATCCCCAGTCTATCCATGCGGAGCCTGTTTGTCTGTGGTCTCTGCCAGTAGACTGGGAGCTCCCTGAGGGCAGGGGCTGTCTTTTGCCTTTCTGTATCCCTGGCACTTAGCATAGTGCCTGGCAAATAGTACAAAGTTAGTAAATGCTGACTGACTGACCGAAGTTATTTTCTGCCACGGCCACGACACTGAAGCCGCTGGATGCTAAGGAAAACGTTGCCTCGGTTTGCAGGATCCCGTCAGTCTTTCCAGAATGCTAATGCTGGCCCTTCGCAGGTCTCCAGTAGCTCCAGCGCAGTCGGTTTGCCTATGCTGCTTCTCCAAAGAGGTTCTTGGTGAGTCTCACGCTTCATACACGGCAGCGTCTTCGTCTTCTGAGCTCATTCATGACAAGATTGTCAACATGTCACTTGTACCAATCTTGTAGCCACTCGGTATTGGATGAATGAGTGAATGAAGAAAACACTGAGTGTTTACTGTGTGCCCAGCACTGTGCTAAGTGCTGGGACACAGAGAAAAATATCACAGAATCGTGGAGCAGGAAGGGGTCTTGGCAGCCGCGAGGCACAGCCCACCCCGAGCTCTCCTTAATAACACACAGGAAAAGGCCCCCCAGATCCCCAAGGAGGGCCTTCCTTTTGCCTACTCAGTCCTCCTGTGCTCAGGAGGGATGGCTTTTCTGTGGCTTCCTCCTGGAGTGGGCATCTCTGTGGTGGGGCCTCCTCCCACTCACTGAGGGAGCAGATGAACTTCGCAGAGCTTGGGCTCCCTGGACCATGCCTCTGAGAGCCCATAGCTGTAGCCAAGCCATGACAAAGCACACGGCCAGAGCTTCCGGGGCATGGCAGGATTCTGCTTCCCTTTTCTTTCACGTTAAGGATTCCCTCTACTTGTGCTCTGATTCAAGGGTGTTTGCCCTCCTCAAATTCCAGCATACAGAAGGGAGGGTTCCTGAAGCTGCCATCCTTGTGACAACGGCTGAACCCACCCTAAGTGAAGGACTCTGCCAACAGCTCTGGATTTCTGTGATTAAAGTGCAGCAAAGAACGTGGCAAGACGCTTGAGCAACACGAAGTTTATTCCAAAGTGCTCGATTGTATGTACAGTTTGCAATCCTAAAACGAACACCACTATATCCTCAACAGAAAGCTGAATTTCACAGATCTCCCAATAAAACCCAATACAAGGACCAATAAATTAGAAAAATAAATGAGATCCAAGTCTTCCATACCGCATGGGCTCAATGTCATCTGCCATGCTGAGCCGGACTTCGCCCCCGGGGCTCACCACACGAAAGCAGCTCGTTCACGCAGCATGCGGACTCCAAAGCGCTGCCATTCCCGCTGGTAGACCCACAGCTCCTGCGTGGTGTCCAGACAGGCCAGCACGGCCCCGCCCTTCCACGCAATTAAGCGTGGATCCATGTCCTGGGTGCACACAAGAGACATGCTGCAAAACCAACTGTGCATTCAGGCAAGAGCCTCAGCTCTGCTGACATTTAAAAATAATGAACCAGAGCTCGACAGGCCAGCCCACATAAGGGATGAAGTGACCTGTGAAATTAAATGTTCACCCTTCTCATCAACAATTTTTGTTCCTAATTTTGAGAACAACTGTTTTTGTCATGGCAGGCGTGGACTGAGACCCTGCCAGGAACCACAGGAAGACCTAACGAGAAGCCAACACGCTGGGCGCAGGACCACACTGCCCATCCATGGCCTGACGGTGGCTCTCCTCCCACAGTTCAGACAAGCACAGAAGGCTTTTCTCCGACACAAAGGCTGATAAGTCTGACCATCCTGTTTCTGACAAGTGTCTTCTATCCAACACTGTGGAAAGTGGGCAAGGGATACCTCATTTTAAATACTGATGGCACAGAGAACCCACCCTCCAGGGATGGATGAGTGATCCTGCGGCCAAGGAAACACCCATCAGATTCAATGGGATGCATGACTGGCCTGTGGTACCCTAACTTCAATGGCTGACTCATTCCCAAAGGAACAGGCTGAAATGACCTTCAAAATCAGAATGCAAAATGTCACTGGGCCTCAGTTTCTCCATCTGTACAATGAGGGGGCTGCACCCGCTGACATTCGCAGCCCTCTTGATCACCACCAATTCCAGCCCCTCATTTTGCAGAAGAGACCCTGATTGAGCTGTGCAGGAGAAGGGGGGAGCTCACATGTGGAAGTGCCAGGGCCACAGTTTGGGGCGGCTCATTCCCCTCCCTTCTCTCCACATCTCCCTCCATCTTCTGAATGAGAAGATCACCACTCTCACTATGCTTCCCGCTTCCAAGGGGATGTTGTGGGGATCCAATGAGGATTTGCAAATGCCCTGGGAATGACTCCCATTAAAGCCCGTCACACTCCTGTGCTGGGAGCCTCTGTGGCTGCCGCGAGCTGCTTTTACATCAGGCCTGGGACCTAAAGCCAGCTCTTATCCTTCCAACCGCACATCTCCTGGGCACTTGTCCTAAGTGGGATCTGTCAATCAGTCTACTAACACTGATGAAGCGTCTACTATGAGCCAGGCCCTGGGCTGCGCACCAAGGACACATGGGAAGTTAAGAACACTGATGAAGTGCCTACTGTGAGCCAGGCCCCGTGCTGCGCACCGAGGACACACGGGAAGGTAAGAGACGTCCCAGCCCAGAAGGAGCTTACCCTCTAATGGGGAGACACCATAGACGAAATAAGGTGGGCCCGCCTCAGAGCAACAGGAGCCTGTGAGACACTGACAGTGAGTGAGCCCCCCGTCTTTTCTGGGGATGACCAGCCAGCGGTCTTGGTGCTCGAGGTGCCTGATGCCCGCCATTGCTGCCCTCTGGAGTCGCTCTAAGGCTGATGGGGTCAGGGGAGGGATGAGGGATGCGGGATGCGCCAGCATGGCCCTCGTTACCTTCGGCCTTGTGATGACCTCCACGTTTTCGACGACTCTTCTGAAGGAAGGGGGCATTTTGTTAAGGATTCGGTGCTGCAGAAACTCCTGGGCTTTGTGGAACATCAGGCCGCCACCCACCACCAGGATGGAGCTGTACATTTTTTTTTTAGTATCATCTGAAGCTGTGAAGACAGTAATATGCCCACTCTTTCAGGCCAGGTGGCACTGGGCTGGGAGACATGAAGACCCAAGTTCGAGTCCAGCCTCAGACACTTCCTAGCTGTGTGACCCCGGGCAAGTCTCTCATCCTTTCTCTGC